GGTATTTCATTTTCAGTCACAATGAATCAGTTCAGTATTCCAACAGCACATACCCAAAATGAATTTTTTCTAGGAGCCAGTGGCTACTCATTTTACTTTTCTCTGTACAGCGCTGGTGTGGCCCTACAGACTCATGCACGCTTTGTTCCAGAAGGACCTTGGCATTTAGAAATGCAAATCTGGCTCATTGTGCTTGCATGTTATTCTTTTTTCTTTCTTGATGTTAAACCAATTACATACATGGATCATTGGTAGTATGTTGCATTTACTCGCTGTACATTCATTTATGTGCATGTATGACTTTTCTACTGATTCAGGAGTTGGATGGTCCACAGGTGCCCGACTGAGGACAATGGGCATAGAAACCTGTGTCGACTTGCAGAACCTGTCACTTGGGGCCCTACAGAAGGAGTTTGGACCTAAGACTGGCCAATCATTGTACAGCTACTGTCGGGGCATAGACAATCGACCAATCAGAGCGGAAAGGGAAAGGAAGTCAGTCTCAGCGGAGATCAATTATGGAATTAGGTTCACTCAGGTGAATCATTTTGTTAGGTCATTGTGAAGTTTGTATCGCTACCAGTCCACATTTTTGCTTTCAATATTAGCCTGTTCGCTTCTTAATTTTGTCGTTTACACATTTTAAAATTCAGTTAGTGCCATATGAGGGATAAATTTGTGAAACCTTGTGGTACAGTCAACTCTTGATATAAAGAACAGTGTTGTAACAAAATACTGTTATAAAGCGCAAATTCTCAGAATCTGAATTTCTTTAATTTTCGTGTTTTCATTGTTTTTCCACTCCTTTTAGGATAAAGTTGTGGTTACAACAGAGTAATTTGTTCGGTCTGTGTAACTTGTTATAACCTGAGTTGACTGTATTCATTGTACTACAATCATTATTAATGTCTTCTAGAGGTGTGTTCCACATGAACCATGGCAGTAGCACACACAATAATGTACACATTTATACCTATGCAAATTTTATTTTTAAGCAGTTGACCATTTTGTTTGCTTAAGTTTGAAGAATGGAAGCTATTTGTTATCAGCGTGGCTTGTTTATTAGGCACCTGGGGTCAGGTTGCCGAAAATGGAACTTTCCACTTTAATCTTGGTCACCCAGGTTTGAAGCCCACCCAGGCCAGCATATGGAAAGAGTTCTTTATCTCTGGATGGGTTTACTAGCCTCTTAAAAGATTTTTTTCTTCATCAGCTTTCACTCAGTCCAGGTCACTATGGGTTGAAAGGCATGCATATGGGTCTTTCTGTTTTTTGAAGGGGTCCAATGGAAACCTAACAATGGTATACTTTAAAGGGTGGTTTCGTAAACTGCAAGGCCACAGTTAAGTCTTTTAGCATGAGTTCATAATACATAGTGACTGCTTTTGAAAGAAGCTGCACATTTCTTTTTCCAATCCCAAGCCCAATCATGCATGATTTGTTGAGATCTTTTGCTTTAATGTGTATGAAACTTTCCCATCTTCAATCTCAATGAACAGAACAGTGAAGCCACAAGGTTTGTTAGTGAATTGGCTGAGGAGGTCCATCGGCGATTGACCGCCATCGCAATGGTAGGTAAGACCATCACGCTCAAGCTGAAAGTGCGGCAGGCGAGTGCCCCCAAGCAAACATCCAAGTTCATGGGTCATGGGATCTGCGATAACCTGGCTAAGTCCACCACCTTGGCACAGGCCACGGACAAACTGAGCATCATTCAGCAGGAGAGCCAGGTGCTGTTGGCTCAGATGAAGACAGAGGCATCGGACCTAAGAGGGGTGAGTGAAAATGACCAGAAAACTGACTTATCTGCACAGTGCTAAAATAGGCCATATTGTTTGCAGTGCAGATTTTAAGTCCTTTGTTTTTTTCTTAGGAAAAGCTGACTAGCCAACCTGCTACAGTAGATTCCCGTTATAGCCCTCCTTGATATAACACTCTTACCGATGTAACGCTCTGTTTTCATTTCCCCAGCTGTACGCCCATTCACTGTGTACATTTTTGTGTGATTATGGTGCGTTTACAACACTTCTCTGGATATAACGCTCACAATTTTCGGCCCGGAGAACCATTTACAGCATGTGAAATGATTCTGGTTACAGCACTCTTTACCTTGGAAAATCAGATTCTTGGAAAAGCAACGCATTGAGTCTGTTGCATGTAGCAGGCTCAGGGTTAATGAGGAAGTACAGAATTTTCAGGCCGAGGTACCCGCTACATGTACCTATCCATCATCTGACCAGTGGCATTTGGACCAATTATGCAAGTGCATGTTATGCCAGGGGAGGCACTCCCGTCAACGAGTTAAGGTTGCAATTAAATGGAAGAGTTTCTATCAGTGTTCCCACAATCATGGAAATCCTTGGAAAAATAAATGTCTCAGAAAGTCACTGTGTCATCATGGAAAACTGGGAAAAAAAACAGTGCCCGTGAGTCCTGTTTGAGGAAACAGGTCATGGAAAAGTCATGGTAGTTAAGATCATGCAAGAGTTATATTTGGTGGGTCACTTTTGATATGATAACGGAATGGCGATCAATTTATAAGCTATCCTTGTCAGTCCATAGTACATCTAATGGCTATGGCAGTCTTCCTGTTCATAATACCAAACAAGTTCTCTGCAAAATGACATCAAATGCCAAGGAGATTGTTTTAGTCCTACAGAGGCTTGGAAAGGTCATGGCATTTGGTTTTCCCATTTCTGTGGGATTCATGCTTTATTCCAAATACAATTGTAATCCATGAAACCTTTACAATCACAGAGATTCAAAGGACCCACTGATTGTCAATTGAGATTCATTTTAATATTGGTAATGGGGCATTTCTGACACTATTCTGTGAAGCCGTCCATCTACTTTTTGTCATGGATTATACAATGAAGCCAAGTTGAGTGCTCTGTTGACCCTTGTCAACAAATTATACACTTTTTAAACAATACAGTATCAACTTTTATTGCTGTGAAAGCCCAGTGTTGATACCTCTGGCCCTTTGGTTCAAAAGTAATGGAAGACCAAACATAGCAAGATGTGAGTTTACAAATTACTTGGAGATTCTTAATCTCAGAATAGAAAATCCCAGCAAAGGACTTATTTGCTTGATCACATCGTGGTTTGAAAAACTTCTCTCCCAAGTGTTCAGCATTCTTGAGTCATCCATGGAAAAGTGCCGAAAAGTGTCCATTCTTGTTATCCTTAGGTTGGCATTCAAATAAGCCGACTTTCTGGAGCCAGTAGCACAGGCAGTTCCTCCACATCCAATAGCAAGTTGCTTTTGGATTTTGTAAAACCATTGGCAAAATCGTCAACCAACCCACCGTCCACAGCGACAGATCCCATCAGAGACCAAGCAGTGAAAGAGAAGAGAATGGCAGGCACAATACTTGACTTTGTCTCCAAACAGGTGAGTCATTCTTATCCACTATGTGGACGATCAGGAGTTGGCATGTGGGTTGCATAGTAATGATGTCCCTGGATAGAAACTTGCTTCACGTCAGCAAAGGTTCACACACACTCTGGGCAGGGTGTGCTGAGCTCCACATGACTTAAGTTCTGTTGAAATGTACAAACTTTACATGTACCAGCCTGTTTCATCCTTACCGATGAGAAAGTCTCTCTAGTCAGAGCAGAAAATTGAAGTACTATTTCATTTCAAGATCATTAAATTTAGAGAATGCATCCAAAGGGTGTTATTCCTGTAGTTGCCTGAACTAACAAAGTTTATTTTTAATATGTGTGATTTGATGTTGAAACGTTGACTCATTCATCTGGAGTTTCTATTGATTTACATGTAGTTGATTTTGAGTATACCAGAATATCGTGGATGATGGATGAATTAATACATAGGCAATTAAAGGTTGGAAGCGTCAGAAAAATTGTCCTGCATTGTTGCTTTGGTTATAATCTGTTTGCTTGTGAAACCATGCCTGGAGTATACAGAGCATACTTTGCCAAGTAGCATTTTCAGATAAACAAAATTGTACATGTGATGTACTGTGATTCAAACTTAAAGCCTCCACATTTTATAGCTGAAGGTTAGCTACGTTGTTTTGGTTCTTTGTTATTTTTGTCCATCAGTTTGCAGGTGTTGCTGCCTATAATTATGGATGGTCTAATTTAATTTCAATCACTTTGACAAAAATACACGTGCAAATGTGCTGATGACAAATTTTATAATTTTTGCAGTGGTTTTCATGTCTGTGAAATTGCCCAGCTACAGTAAGTCCCAAATGTGATTCCTCCCAGAAATCATTGGCTTCTTCTGTCCAAGAAGTCCCAGCATCAAAGCCTCTGTTACCCCAGCCAGAGAAGACCCCGCTTCCCCCTCTGCCTACTTTCCAACTTGCCACACCCACGCTGCCATCAAGACAAGAGCAGCTGGAGCAGTTCTGCTTGCCCTCCCCATCTCAGCTGGACCCTTCAGTACTTGCTGCTCTCCCTGAAGACATCAGGCGGACGATCGAAAGGACTTACGAATCCAAGAGGGAGCAACAAGACAGGTGGGAAGAATGGGAGAGATGCAAATGAAAGAAATAAATTCCATCCACCAGATAATCCTAAATTCTTAAGTCAACGTTGCAGTGGAGAATGTTGTCAACCTTTAAGTCAATCAAGTATGCACTTGTTTTATACAAATAAATTGTAATATGGATGTTAAAAATGTAAATGGGGACAGGTTTTTGTCCTTTAAAATCGTCCTGTGGGTTTTTCAGGAGTAAGAAATATAGATATACACCAGCATCATTTTTACATGAAAGAAAATGTGGCTGTTTTCCTAATTATTGTTTTGGTCTTTAGGAAGAATCCTGGAAAAAATAGGAACTTGAGGGTCAGCGTTAAATCTCGAGTTTTACGTGTACGTGTACTGTTGCCACTGAAAATGGCTATGTGAAATTACAAATTGGAATATGGAGGTACATTGTGTATCATCAAACACATCCTGGAATCAACCTTTCTGAAATGTTTTTCTATAATTTCCAGAGGACATTGTACGTACAAGCTGTAAAACTGTCGCACAGCAACAAAGCATACATAATAAGGTGAAGTGTGAAATGCCTTCAACAAAGGCACGGTACAGTTTCATACACAGATGTAATTGTGTGTTTTGTGTCTGCAGCAAAGCCCGAGGCCCGTCAGTTGTGCATACATCGAGCTCTGTCACCAATGGCACACCGCTTGACGGAACAAAATCCCTTGACTCTGAGTCGTCTAAACCTTCATGCAGTGGGCTAGCTTCCGATGCTGGACCATCAAGGCTAAGCAAGGCCAGTAGCAGAGAAGAAATTTTGCACACTACAGATGACCACTTCACTGGTGGTGGATGCTCAGCTGCTGCTGAACCCATAGTAAAGATGAAAAGTCCATGTCCTGAGCACAGTCCAATTCCTGTCACTGCACATTCCTCTAAGAACAATATGAGCAACAAAGCAGCTGATTGTGACCAACCTATTTCATCATTTGGTACATCCCATGTTAGCAAAGACCAAAACCAACCCAGCACTTCATCTGGGACAGACCATTCCAGCCTTAGGTATGACCCAAGTGTCCTGAAAGAGCTGCCACCAGACATTATCCAGGAGTTAATGGAGCAAGGAGGTGCTGAGCACATCCAACGGGAGCAAGTTGAAAGCCACTCTGAGTTGATAGAACATGAAGATAAAAAGGTCTTGGGCCCCGTAGAGGCTCTGCCATCATTTTCGCAAGTATGGGATTTGATCAGAATGGTTTGACCTGTATATTTTGGCAGAAAAAAATGCTGAACGTAAAGTAGTATTCCCTGAACAATACAAAACACTTAATCTGAAAGTCATGTCCTCCACTCCCTAAATCAAAGCCTTGAGTTCTCAAATTTAAAAAAAATCTTGTTCATCGTGGATTGAAACCTTGATACGTGCAGCTCAAATTGTTATGCTACTTGTTGAGAAATGATGGGAATGTTTCAGGCAGGGAATTAAAGCACCAATATTTCTCATGTAGCCAGAAGGGAGCTCTTGCATGCTTGTCACATAGCATACTTGTCCTTTTTGGCACTTGGAGCAATGCATATAGCGCAGTATCCATGCCACATCAGAACTCCTGTAAGCACTCACTTGTGGAGGCCACCATGTTTTTAATTGCAGTGGAGTCAGCTGACAGCTATCGGCCAATTATGAGTCTTGTTGTCATTTCTGACATTGAGCTCCAACTTGCTAGTAAACAGATTGGTGGACATTTGCAGCACTGGGCTCTGTTGAACAAATAAATGTTAAGGCTAAAGTAACACTACGTGAAGGGCAAAGTTCCACAGTGCAGGGTCTGTTTAAATGCCATACAGAGAAAGAGTGATATTGCCGGGAACTTTGGGGACAAGCAAAGTGATCTACCAAGGTTACATGGATGATGAATTCCACATTGTGTTCGTGATGGTCAAACATCTTAAGTGTGTCTGATAAAATCTTTCAACCAGTGAAATGTTTTAATTCAGTACAGCTGTTGCAAATGTTTCAGATCGATCCTGCCTGCATGGAAGCCCTCCCATCTGAGCTACAACGGGAACTGGAGCTAGCCTATCAGAGGCAGCAGAAGACACCCCAGGATACAAGCCCAAAGAAGGCTGTATCTGTCTCCAAGACCAGCCCCTTCAAGCTGCATCGGAGGAGGGGGCGACCACGCAAGGGAAGTCCTCGCAAGGGTACCAGGCAGGGCTTCAAGATACCAGGAACAGTAGACATCCTGGAGATGGTTACTGGTGTCAAGAGTTCACCAGTTGGGAAGGCTGGAAATGTCTGTAGAAGCCCTGAGGGGTCTTCTGCCAATAGTAAGCACCCCACCATGGTATATTAGCTCTCAGGAGTAGCATTATTTCTGAAACGTGTTCCTTAGAGGAGTGACCACTGCCTCATTCTCTCAAAATCCTACGGTAATTCCTGTCAGTATGTTTAGGCAGTGACAATGGTATCCTGGAGCAGTGCAGATGATTTCCAGCATAATTTGAGCCTGAAGTCGTGTATGACCTTAAAAAAAAAATTAGCCACAGTTCTGCCATACAGCATCAGTCCTCTAAAATCCAAAACCACTTCAAGGATTTTAGGAGGACTGAGAGCGATTTAGGGTTAGACTGTAGGCCCTGTGCTGTATCAAAGCTTGTCAAAGAATCTCTTTCACCCTTTCAAAACCTTCTGGTTGCAAGTGGTTAGAAGGTCTTAGGAGGGTTATGAACTTGCTTTTAATTACCAGTGACACAGGTGCATGTGTTCGTGCACTAGTTTGCGAATGTTGACGGAGGAGAGCACACGCAGACAGTTCCCACCTGAAAATGCATAAACCTTTGTACATGTTGGGTTTCCTTGTGAGCATCCAACACATTGTCATTGAAGGTCTTGTGTGCAGGAAATTCATTCAGCGTACACAGTGACTATGTAGGGCTGAACTCAGTAGTGTGTGGTTGAGAATAGTGTTCTCCAAATCATAAATGTCTGAAATCGATGATGACTGGTGACAAATATTGAAATGGATGGAGGGCAGGCAAGGCTTAAGAGTGGAGTTCAGGGCCTATTTAAGGATATTCCAATTTTTTTTTTCATTCAGGTCTTGTGCATTTCTGGGCATACAAGAGGTAGATTTATGTCATAAAAATTGAAAGTAATTTTACACATTCAAAGACAACTCTATTTTTTTCTGTTTTTTTTCTCAAAGAGATTGTAATGAAGTATTGAAGAATATAAACATTGCACCCAGTACTTATTAACATGGCTAGATCGTGTTAAACCTTGGTGGCTACTATTTAATCTTGGTGGTAGACAAGCAACACTTAATGGGTCACCATGCCACTTCTCAAGGTGGAAAGACACTGGAAAAGACTCCTGCTTGCCATTAAGTTGCCACTCAAAATGCTGCAGAAAGGTTGTCATGAAAGACAATGTACATTTTACAGGGAATGGGTTTCAAAGTTTGTGCTCTTAGCAAAGAAAAACACTTTTAAGAATTTGGAAGACAACGGGGAGGGTGATCGAAAAAAGGAGAGATCAGAAATGGCACCTGAAGTCACTACCTTTTGAACAAACACTGACCTTTCCCCCTCCCCCGTACTGTAAAGGTTTTCCACCATTATTGCCATAGCAGCCCTGTTTTTGGTTGGTACATGTACAAATAATGTAATTCTCCTGCATAGTTAGAGGTTTCTGGCAAATCCAGGAACCTCTGTAGCTGAAAAAATTCCCTGGGAGTTCAAGTGCAAGATGTTTCACAGAATCTGGCTCTTGTTATTTTATGCAGAGGATGCAAATGAAATAGATCGTGACGTCCATGAGGACGGTAATACTAAAAGTATTGCAGCTAAGGAGACGGTGAATCTTTGTGGTGCTGTGGCATTGTGGGATGTCAAAGCATTGCTGAAAGAATGGACTACATCTGTTGAAGGTTGGTGGAACCAATTTATAAACTCGAACCCATTTCCGAACACCAAGGGTGGCCTGGGTGGCTAGCGGGTACAGCACTCACCTCTCACCACTTTGATCCAAGTTTGGTTTCCTTTCCCACACTGTACCTGAGAAGATTGTTCACTGGCTTTCTCCTGTACCATGACTTTTTTTCCAGGGTCTCCAGTTTGCCTCTCTCTTAAAAAAGTCTACACATTTCATCTCTGGCTCTGCTCTGTGGCCAAATATGGGCTACATGTGCCAGTTTTTGTCTTCATCAGCTGAACTTTGTAGCTTCGAGTATGAACAGTTAGCACTCCTACATAAATAAAATCCATTTCGAAAGATCAAATAAGGACAAATAGCCAAAGAAATTGTTCCCTGCTGTCAAATATAAAACTAAAGTAAAATTCACAATTCCAAGCATTTTTTCACAGGATTGTTTTATCACTCTAAATCTTTCTCTGACACCACCTCACCCAAATTTTGTGTGAGAACCAGCCTTGTATCAAGACTTATGTATTGCCAGAAAGGGGCAGTGTATAGCCCGTCTTAAGATGAGCTTTAGTTGATATCAAATCTTACTGAATTTATTCTTTGATGCATTAATTTGTAGGAAATCACTGAAAAAGATTACTTTTATGCCAGTTAGAGAAAAACGGTTACTGCTGCAAGTGTGTTTTATCGGTGCAAAAGATCAGGATCTTGCATTGCAATGACCGAGTGTTTTTTCCACTGCATCAGAGCCAGGGGACGAAGATATTGAGTATCTCATGCAATACCTGAATGATCTTGTTCTGGATAGAAATCTGGAAATGGCTAACCTGGTCCTTCGAGCCATGAAAAGGTACATATATGTCATCTACTGAGATATTGGCCACACCAGTTTGAAGTTGTTCTTTATTGGGCAATGCAATCAACTTTCCTTGTGTGGGTTAATTAATGTTGCTACTTAAGCACTCAGCCGGATATTTGCCGTTTTACTGAAGAAGTGCAATAGTCAAACCTTCATGGCAAGTTTAAATTTGCCAAAATTGTTGACTTCTAAAATGGACTGATCATCGAAAACTTACTTAACTCTCATGAAAAGTAATTCTTCACACGATACACAAATATACATTATAATATTTCCCTTCTATACCTTTGAGAGACTTTCCTTTTAACCAAATATGTACTTCCAGTCCATATTAATCAAGTAACTTTTACAGGTTTGCAAGATGAAGTAAGATTAACGAACTCCAATACCAGATCTGTACCTCAGTCAATCTGTAGGGTGAATTTTAGCAGTCACAATATGTCACATTGTACTTTTTTACCTGGCATGCCTGATTATTAGTGACATATAGGCCAATGTACATGTACTGATGATTTCACATTTTGTTTTATGCCCTTTTCAATTTAGCTGTGTGGGGCCCATGGTTTACGTGTACTTAGTACCTTAGGAAAGCACACCAATAAACTGTGGCATCAGCAATACTGGGTCTTTTAGTACATGGAGACAAAGCAAGATTCGATGCATGACTGTGATCTTTTCAAGCAGTGAGAAAATGAATCAGAAAGTCTGACAAGATGAAATTGCATGGGACAAATTCTCTTTTAATATTCTAGTCCCCTCTGAAACCAGGATTTCATTGTTTATCTTGGCCGCAGGGACCTTGACATTATCAGCTTAAGCTAGGAATACTGCAGGTGGCCAGTCCACCCTTCTGAATATTATCAGCCAGATGTACCAATGTAAACAGTGGTCTAGTTCCAGGGTGTATAAATAGGCAACTTCACAGAATCAAGATTTGCACTGACTCAGGTGTTTGTGCACTGATTGAAGTCATTAAAGGACAATGTGTTTTTAAAACTTTACAAAATTGAATTCAACATTAGTGATTAAATTTATGAAAGTCCACTTGTGTTGAGAAAATTATAAGCATACCCCACACAGTGTTCAGTCAAGCAATAGCAGTAGTAATTGTTCACTGCTGTTGTTTGACACTTAACAGTAACAAATCCTTAGTGTCAATACAGTTACTAATAATGCTCAAAATCCTGGTTTCACCTAACTGAAGGCTGAATATAGGTTTTATGAAAATTCATAACATGAAACATTGACTATCAATATGGTAATTACAAAATGAATTTAATTTCTGCAGTACAAAATTACTAGTGGACATGGCCTGATCTCTGTAAACCTGAAGGTAATCTTTGGCCTTATACTCAATCAGGCTGGCTAATCGAATGGAGTCCACCTCGCCATGGAGAGCTGCCTATCAGACGATAGAAGACAGAGTCCAAGATACCGTCTCACAGATCTACCGCAGCACACTCAAGATAATGTAACCTTTTTTTTTCATTCTAAATTAGACCTAAAATTTCCTTTCCACTATGCACAACCATGCTCTGCAGGAGTGAACTTGTCAACATCACTGCTATTGCAGGTGAAGGTATTTGAGAGCCAGTTTTTGTTAAGGTACACGTCTCAGTTTGCATGGGTAGATTGCACAGCAGACTGCCCTGGCAGATCCAGCATTAACGAAAAGCAGGGCATACAAAATGCAAGGGAAACCCAAACAAAGCAAAAATAAAGGACGTGAAGGGTACATTCTAGGCTAGACATTGCTTGAACATGAGATCCTTATCAGTGTAAGGATCATACAGGAAGCCAGTGAGACATACCATTTATTGATAGGGGAATTTTTATTTTACTGCCAAGAGTGGAATTTTCTGACTGTTCATGAAGTGTACATGTACATACCACATACTTCCAGAAAAGAGTTTTGGGGTAAACTTAAGTCATCTTCACTCTGATACATAACAGTATAAAAGTGACTCCAATCCTGCATGGGTATCTATGATTTTGGTGAATTCTGTGAAAGGTGGAAGACTTTTTAAAAGAGCGTTACAGGCAGGCTTGGTCATGCTCATTCAAATGCAAAGTCATTCTACATGTGGATTACATGTGGAAAATTCTTTGGCAAAGGAACCACTTCACCCTTGAAAATTGATTCGTATAAGTTTTCCCTTCAGCTTCTTGTCCAGAAAACAGAATTAGTTCATGATGCTTCAAATTTCTTCATGTTGGATGTGGATTGTCTTTATAACTTATATACGTACTGGTTGTAATTTGGTTGTCCTCTGTACTGAGCTATTAGAAGAATTTTCTTGTCACCTTTGATCTTCTTACTCGTAGGTACATGTACAGATGTAGTGGATCTTGAGTATTGTTCATAATTCAAATGATTGCAAAGGTAGCCAGGGAACACTTCTTTTTCCTCAGACGAAGATGTTTGTCAATTTCATTTGTTTCACAGATAATCCAAGCTCCTTTCCTTGCTTTCACCTCTGATCATTTCTTTGTAATGTCCTGAGAAGTTCAATACTCTTGCAGAAAGAGCAACCATTAGTGCTTGTTGCACACCCATTCATTACATTTAAAAAACCAATCAACATTGAAGTATTGTTCTTCATTTTATTGTTTTTTCTTACTGAACTTCTGAAACTCCAAGAGCCACATTTACAGTATTGTATTCGAGTCCATCACAAGTCCCTGTAAGTCCATCACAAGTTCCTGTAAGTCCATCACAAGTTCATCACAGGTCCCTGTAAGGCCATCACAAGTCCCTGTAAGTCCATCACTTGTGACTGGCCTTGTAAAGGGACTTGTGACTGACCTTGTAAAGGGACTTGTGACTGGCCTTGTAAAGGGACTTGTGACTGGCCTTGTAAAGGGACTTGTGACTGGCCTTGTAAAGGGACTTGTGACTGGCCTTGCGATGGACTCGAATATAACTCTGCAAGTTTATGAAGGAGACCAGATATAGTTACCGTACTAGTTTCAACTACAGAAAATCTTTTCCCTGTCAAAGTTCACCCTCCCCCCTTATTTCTAACCATTTCCCATCTGCTAGTTCTATATGCACTGTTGATAAGTCTAAGCAGTCATCACTGGGTTTTCTCCAGACTTTGTGGTACATCTCTGATGTAGTTTAGTTATGTTGTTTTCCTCTTCAAGTCTGTGTAGAAATTTGTCAGAGATTGGCCGGAGAGAGTCTGATATTGTATAAAAGGCCTTCAGCATATTGAAAAGTCTGTACAGACAAACGGACAAAAGTTCCACGTGTGCGTACATGTACATGTACTTACTGTTCATGTGCGTGCATGCATGAACATACATGTACAAAGTCCACATGCGATGCGATGTGTGTATGTACACCCAGTGCCAGTAGTATGTTGGGGTTGTTTTGGAATGTTCCATTTTATGGAAGGGATGAAGGAAAGATTGAGGGACCGATCAGCCAACTTGGACAAATTACATACATGTACATGACTTATTTGGTACTCTCCCTGTACACAAAAACGTTGAATGCAGGCCGAGGCCTGTGAAAATAGTAAGGCACACAATATTGAATTCACAACATTTTTTAAAAATTATTTACAAATTGGCAACTGATGATTCAGGGCAGATTGTGTAGCCAGTGGTGAGCAGAGCACATTGGTGAAGCAATGTTTGGGGGATACATGCCCAGTATATCTTGGATAAAACCCTCGCCTCAAAGTTCTTTTTAACAAGAACTGAAAATTCCTGGAATTAATTTGAAACTCCTCATTACCTGCATGATGCAGAATATATATGCTGCTCAAGCAATTGGTCAAAGCCTATTGCACAATGGGTGTCTCCCTAACCTACATGTAACAGAAATTAATATGCTATTTACATTAACTTCTTTTCTCTTGTTTTGTTTCGTTTCTTTACCTATGAATGTACCTTCGATTTCTGGTTGTCATAACAAAGACTACCAAAGTATTAATTACCAAGTACACACCTTGTACCATGTAATTCCATGCAGCTGTTTTGGCATTCCTGCCGAAACAGCTCTTGTTAACGTTAAATTTTTTTCCCCTTTTTTTTTCCTTTTTCAGATGTTTTCTTTTTTCAGCCAATCGACTTTGGTACCATAATAAATCCGATCAACTTCAAACTTGGCACAATGTTAAAACATTATCCAAGGACGGTCATTGACGAAATTTGGCATGATGACGTCATCACGTTTTTTATTATTGATTTTCGAGGTACCATTTTCGTCACTTAGCAATCTTAGATCTTCATCAGAGTTACAGTAAGGAACTAGCCTACGGTTAAGAAGATACTAGAGTAGTGACATCATGATGAAGTCATCTTCTGATTTATTTTTGAATTTTGAATATTTAATTTTTCTCCACATGTTTTGTACACGTTTTTCTACCACGCAGTATTATCGATCTTAATGAGAATAGTCCTGAACTTCGAAAGAGAAACGAAAGAGAATTTGTTTTTTCCGTCTTTGTTTATTTATTTCATTTCTAAGGATATACAGGTAAACAAAGCAGACAGTAAAGCATAAATGTACATGATGGAACAAAGGACATAACCCAATCAGTTCGCGATGGCTTACCCAAGAGTCCAAATATGAAATAATAGTGAAGGATTTTTTTTGCAATATAAACACAAATCATGTGACACGACTTTAAAGCTGCAGTTTTTCTCCATACATGTAGGTTTTCTGCATGTTTTTCTGAAGTCAAAAACAGGTGCATTCGTACATCTGAGTGACTTTGTATTGGGAGCATACATAGTCCATCAACCTGTGGGGCTGTCAAAATCGTCACAGTGACGTCATCAGGGCGGCCCTTATATGGCAAAACAACCTTACTCAAAAAGTGGCATTTTGAGATAATTGAGTTTAAAGTTTGAGCACTTGCCTTTTTAAACACGTAACTTTGTTGGAGATGGAATAACGCATGACCATTGAGGTCATTTTAGTCTGCTATTTTGCAAATTTCTGGCAAAAGTCCTTGGGTTGTTTTTAAAATAAGATGAATTTAATGAACATATGTTCTTTTGCTGATATTTTAAGCAAGCAAGTTTTCTAAGCCTTTTATGGCAAAATGGTGTATCTCAAGTTATATGTTATTTCCATTAGACAGTATTTGTGGCAAAACATGGCATCTCAAGCTACATATCTTAATACCACTACATTTGCACGGAAATATGATATAACTTGCAGTTAATGATTTCATTTTTGTTATTTTTTGTTGCAAAACTATGTATCTCAATTGTTTTCATTAAAATGCATTAAATTTTAGTTGGTGAAATAACAGAATTATTGAACAAATATTGTATTGAAGGAAAATTATAATTGTAATTATAACATAATTATTTTGGATATAATGATGTTAGTGATAATAGAAGGATAGTGATGATGACAGTTACATGATGGGATTGATAATGCTGCGTCTGGATTAACTAAACAATGAAGACTAAAAACTCCCTCACATGACCCTTCTCTTGGTGCTTCCACAGCCCTTTACTCAATTCAGCCTCATATCATATTCATCCTTATTTATAAGTTTGTAAGCTAAGATTTCAACAACGTTTTATAATTGGAACAATTATTATCATCATAAACAACAACTGCTTTGTCAATAAAAACAACTCTTTGTCCCATCCATAAGTGTACTGAAGAGTTCCGCCAAGTTATGTCAGGAAATATTAAATATATTGGAAAGTTTTTTAATAAATTTAAGTCCAAGTAAATCATGCTCTTCCAATAAGTTTCAAAAAGGCACACGACACTTAAATTGTGCCGAATGATTTGAAATGAATCTGAATAGTGTATTTTAAATTGTTTTCAGTAATAAGACTGAAATTTGAAAGTTGAAGAATATTGATGAGTTTCTAGATTAATAACGAAATAAATAAAGGAATGCAAAATAACTGAAAAACTACATAAAGATTGTGTCCAACGTACATGTATTCATGCACTCATTCCACTATAAGGGTTTTTTGACAAAAGTAAAGGTAGCAATCCCAGTCTTGTAAATTTTCCTACATTGTCTCAGGAAAACAAGCCAATTATTCTCATACTTGTTCACCACAGTCTGTTTAATAGCCCATTGCAGTATTCTGGGAGTACATGTACATGAACTTTATTAACATGAAAGCTCCCTGTGCCCACTGCACAAAACTGCAAGTCTGATAATAGTCTTCAACGGTTTCCAAATCCTCTGAAACATCATTTACTGGTAGTTGTTTAAAGAAAGCTGCCTTATAGCTGGGGATAAAACTGGCAAGTGTCATCAAGTCAGTTTTCTTCAAAGTAGGTATTCCCCTAGGACTCTCCATCAGTGGAATTGAGGCTAGTGGGTCTTCAGCATTCGCTACCAACAATGCCAATTCACGTGCACACACTTCCTTTAGGAACGATAGTTCTACGAAGTCTTCCTGATCATGAGCCATTTTGTAGAACATTTTAATGGAACCCAACCTAAACTGCACGACCTTAATATCCTTGAGGAGTACTGTCGTCTTCTTGGCCTGGTTTTCAAACACATCTGTGTGTGATCAATATCACACACTTCAGCTGTCTGCATGACTTTTCTATCAGCTCAACATTGTCTTGAAGGTCGTAAATGCTCTTGCTTCCCAACGTCATGGTGATAGACCCATGCACACTATCTGCTGCCTTGAATGTGTGGCCTGGTTACTTCAAGTTATAAGGTTGGTGCCAACAGAAGGATTGTTGACTATTCGCGGTAATGCCGAAAACAGCGTCCAATTCTTGTTTTGAGAGCTACAGTTGTCTGCAAAGAGTATGGCCTCTTGGACATCCCTGTTGAACTGCAGAAAAGTCAAATATGCACTTGCAATATTGAAGGCTTTTCTCCCAGCTTGTCCCTCATGCCATAGAACAGCTTGTGCTGGTGCATCTTTGCCTAGTGATGTGAAGGTCTCATAGAAAAGCACCAGCTTTCTACTACTAGGTAATAGTCCTTGATGCGTAATTTGGGCATGCAAATCATCTGTTGCATGTCCACAGTTGTTACAAGGACTTGTTCATCATGCCCTATTCATTCCACGTCTGTGTCAAGAGCTATTTGAGCTTGGATAGCTCTGGTTTTGTGTTTAACATATCCAGTGCAAGCATGGCAGTCACAGGTACTGCAATCATGGGGAAGGTCATCCGCAGGTGCTTCTTTTAGTGGATGTGCTTGTTCGTGGGTGAGGCATGTTTTACACAGGTCATTTTCTGCAGTTCAAAATGAAATATCCGTCGAGTTGAATATCTTATAGTAGTATTGGAACATTGGTCTTAGCCAGATGCTTGTTGACTTTCATTGAAGACCTGATGCATTGAACTTATTGACAGATTGGACGGAAGGTACCTTCTGTTGGGAGCATGCTCCCTCCTGGAATGGCAAACCTGAGGGGGAAAAGACTCAATGTGGTCGGTAACATGTGTGCGGTACCCCTCATCAAATTTATTCCAAGGTGCATGTTGACCACATCCATCCCCGTGCGCTCCAACCACAGCACCCCACATCCAGATTAATCAATTTGTCAACAACTACACTGTTAAAAAAATACCGTATTTTTACAGGAATGTCCTGGCAGCTGGGACGCCAGTACCGTCCCTTAAAAAACGGTTATACTGAAATTAAGGGACGTTCTGTTAATTAACAAGTTCTATATATATTGTCAATTAACGGTTTGTTCCTTTAAAATAACGGAATCCACCCTGTCATTTTTTGACCAATTCCTGTTTTATAACAGTACACCAAACCGTTATCTAGCGTTATCTATGGTGTTATTTAGCATTTTTTTCACGTGACATGCTGTTGATATTCCAGTAAAAGACCGGTATTTACCACGTTATTTTCCATCCACTTCCCGTTTTTGTAAATGCCCAAACCTGTTTTCTCACAGTGTGTATACCGTCATTAAACGGTTCGTCTCTTTCAAAATACAAGTGTATTAGTAGAAAATTTTTATCAAACCTGTAATCTTAGAACAAAATCCAGTTTTATGAACATTTTTAACTGTTAAAGCACAGGGACAGTTTGTTATAACGCGTCAGTGGTGGTAAATAAACAGACAACAGTTGCTATTTTACAGTCACTGTCTGGTTTATTCTCTCTCACATTGTCGCTTAAGAGGCTGACAAACCTTGAACTGGATGGCTGGCCTATAAATGCTGACATCATATGGAGCATCTTAAGGCTTGTGAGATTTCCCTTTGTTAAAAAAAAAATTTTTTTAATTAAATTTTGTTAACGGCTTTTTTAGACAATACCTCACGCACATCCTAAACCTGTATATAACACTGAAAAACTATAGCAGTATTTTATGCTTAACACTGGGAAACCCTGTTTCGTTGAATAATCAACACAAAAATACTAACAAAAATACTTCTCATAAAGTCTGCCTTTTAGCACCATCCAAACTTATAAAAAAATCAATATCTGAATTCCAAAAAGTTAGCAAGTTTTTTACTTTAATCTGACCTTATAATCAGGGCAGCATTAATTTAGGAAAGAGTTCCGGTATAGAAGTTCAGATGAATTACTTAGCACAAACTATGTGGCCCTAGTCTGAATAACTGTTGTCAAAATACTTCATTTTCGTCATACTACATCTGACTTTTGGGACCTGATGTGGGTTTATAAGGGCTAATACACGTTGTGTGGTACAGGAGAAATCTGTTTACATCCAATTTAG